ATGTATTCCCGTCCAACATTAGGCAAATGCTTCTGGTGTGGACAAACAGGGCATTTATCTAATGACTGTCCTTAACGAAAAGCTATCAACATTGTTGATGAGGATGGCATACAAGCAAACAATGGATCTGAGTTGGAAGAGGATGTCGACTATGTTGCCCCAGATGAAGGAGATACTGTTTCCTGTGTTCTCCAACGAGTGTTGTTGACACCTAAAACCGAAGTGGCCAATCAAAGACACGCTCTCTTTAAAACTAGATGCACTATCAATGGGAAAATCTGCAATGTCATAGTCGATAATGGCAACACCGAAAATGTCATTGCAAGTAAGTTGGTTACCACTTTACATTTACCTTTATCTGCTCACCCCGCCCCTTATAAGGTGTATTGGATTAAAAAAGGGGGTGAGGCACATGTTACACATACCTGCACGATTGCACTGTCCATTGGGTCAACTTATAAAGACCAAATTGTATGTGACGTACTCGACATGGACGTCTGTCATGTTCTATTGGGCAAACCATGGCAGTTTGATACTCAAGCTCTCCATAGAGGAAGAGACAATACGTATGAGTTCCTATGGATGGGTAAAAAGGTGGTCCTTCTACCGTTAAACCCCTCCAAATCCCTCCCTTTGAAAGACAGTGATAAAGGGACGGGTAGCCTTTTCACCATCACTTCAGCAAAACAATTCATCGGCCAATCTAAAGATCCTATCCTCGGTCTAATTGTTAAAGAGTTTGGTTCTGTAAATGATAGATCTAATGTTCCTCCCGCTGTCAGTCAATTATTGACACAATTTGAGTCCATTGTGGAAACACCCACGGGCTGCCCCCTCTTTGAAACATACAACACAACATTGATTTTTTACGAGGAGCACCACTCCCTAATTTAGCACATTATCGAATGAGCCCGTCGGAATATAAGATACTTCATGACCAAATCCAAGAGTTACTTGATAAGGGGCATATACAGCCAAGTTTGAGCCCTTGTGCGGTGCCCACCCTTTTAACTCCAAAAAAGGACGGCACTTGGCGAATGTGCGTCAACAGTCGTGCCATAAACAAAATAACAGTAAAATATCGGTTTCCCATACCACGAATTACGGATCTTTTGGACCAATTGGGAGGCACTACTATCTTCTTTAAGGTTGATCTCAAGAGTGGCTACCACCAAATTCGCATTAGACCCGGCGATGAGTGGAAAACTGCGTTCAAGACGAATGAGGGCTTATTTGAATGGCTTGTTATGCCATTCGGGTTATGTAATGCTCCCAGTACCTTCATGAGACTTATGAACCAGGTTTTGTTCCCTTTCATTAACAAGTTTATTGTTGTTTACTTTGATGATATTCTCATTTATAGCCTTAATATGCATGACCACTTAGAACATCTTAAATTACTCTTCACCACTTTGGCCTCTAACAAGTGATCAATATTAAAAAGTGTCTGTTTGTCATTACTGAAATATCCTTCTTAGGCTTTATCATTGGCCATAATAAAGTTCAGATGGACCCTTCTAAAATTAAAGCCATAGCCGAATGGGGGGAACCTAAAACAGTTAAAGATGTTCAATGTTTTCTAGGGCTTGCATCCTTTTATAGAAAATTCATTAAAAACTTTAGCTCGATAGTAGCTCTGTTAACCAACTGCCTTAAAAAGGGACAATTTTCTTGGGTCAACCACAACTGGAAAGTTTCCATCTCATTAAAACTAAACTTTGTCAAAGCCCCGTCCTTGCCCTCCCAAACTTTGATTCCCCTTTTAAAGTAGCGGTAGATGCGTCCGGTCTTGGTATAGGAGCTGTTCTTTCTCAACATAATCACCCTGTAGAATACTTTAGTGAGAAACTTAGCCCATCCCGTACAAAATGGAGCACATATGAACAAGAACTCTATGCCCTTGTCCGTGCATTAAAACAATGGGAGCATTATCTTCTAAGCAAAGAATTTATATTGTTTACGGATCACTTTTCCTTAAAATTTTTGCATACTCAGAAGACTATAAGCCGTATGCATGCCCGTTGGTTGTCTTTCCTCCAACGATTTGACTTTGTGATTAAACACAAAGCGGGAACAACCAATAAAGCGGCAGACGCTTTGAGCCGGAAGAACAACCTATTAACCATCCTTAAAGGTGAAATTATTGCCTTTGACTATCTACCGGACTTGTATGAAACCGATAAAGACTTCCAAGACATTTGGTACAAATGTTCTAATCATATGCCCATCGACGACTACCATAAGGATACTTATTCAAAGGAAATACACTCTGTATCCCGCACACTTCCTTACGGGAGGCTATTTTGCGGGATGCTCATACAGGTGGCCTTGCGGGGCACTTCGGCCGTGATAAAACATTGGACATCGTCGCTTCTCGTTTCTATTGGCCCCACATCCGCAAGGATGTCTCTAACTATGTCACCAAGTGTTTTACTTGCCAAATATATAAAGGCACCACGCAAAATACTGGCCTTTACACACCTTTACCAGTCCCCGAAAGTATATGGGAGGATCTGTCCATGGATTTTGTTCTCGGGCTACCCCGAACACAACGGGGATTTGACTCTGTCATGGTGGTAGTAGATCGCTTCAGCAAAATGGCACATTTTGCGGCATGTAAAAAGACCTCCGATGCAATAGCCATAGCTACATTATTTTTTAAAGACATTGTCCGACTCCATGGCATTCCTAAGTCCATAGTCTCGGATCGTGATATCAAATTCTTAAGCCACTTTTGGCGCACACTATGGAAGAAATTTGATACGTCACTCAAGTTTAGCACAACAAGCCACCCACAAATTGATGGCCAAACCGAGGTCACTAACAGATCTTTGGGAAACCTCATTCGATGCATCAGCGGGGATCATCCTAAACAATGGGACATGTCACTAGCTCAAGCTGAATTTGCCTATAACCATATGAAGAATAGAACTACAGGGAAGTCTCCATTTGAGGTATTCTACACTAAACTCCTTCAATTAACTTTAGATTTGACTAACCTCTCTTCCTCTGTTGATCTCAGCTTAGAAGCAGAAGAAATGGCCAGCCGGGTGACAAAGTTACATCAGGAGGTTCGACGACACATTGAACAATCCAATTCCAAATACAAAGCTACCGCTGACAAGAAACGGAGACCGAAAGAATTCCAAGTCGGTGACCTAGTCATGATTCATCTAAGGAAAAGTCGGTTTCCAACAGGGACCTACTCTAAGCTCAAAAAGAAATTGGGACCTTTTAAACTAATCGAGTGCTTCGAGGCAAATGCATACAAGCTTCAGCTTCCGCCAACTTACACTTTCAGCCCCATATTTAACGTGGCTGATCTCTACGCTTATAGTCCACCAAATTCCTTTCAAATACACCCTTAACTCGAGGGCGAGTTATTTGTAAGGGTGGGGGAAATTGATGTAGTTAGTAGGTTACGTTGGTTAGTTAGTTAAGCTGTTAACCCTTAGGTGCTGTTATTTTAGTTACTGTGTAGTTTTATCCCAGCAGCCCCTATAACTGCTGGAATTCAGTGTTTAGATGAATATAATTCTCTTCAAGATTTCCACCTAAATTGTGTACACCAAAAATATTGTGTAAATATTATCTATAACTATTACTAATAAAAATAAATAAATACTTAACTTTTAAAACATACAAATATTAAATAAATTATGCCTAAAACTAAAACTAAATTTTAAATAATGTGATTTATTAGTCTAGAAAGAAAATTAAAAGATCTATATATTTATTTTCAAGAGAGGTTGCCTTCTGTCATCATGGAGGACTGAAAGGTTTGACATCTGTCAATCATGTCAATCATCATTAATGCTTCTTTAGTACTAACATTTCTCCATCTTCTCCATCTTCTCTCTTCTTCTTCCCATTCTTCTCTTTTTCTATTTTCTCCATGGTCTTTGACTCTACTCATACTTAATTTTTCTGTTTTCTACTATCACTTTTCTTCTACTTCTTCTCCTCCGTCCGGGTGGCAAGTTGTTGCCGGTGTCCATGGCAAAACACTGATGGTGGCTACAGCAAAGGCAGGTGGTGGCAACAGCCACTCTCTCAGATGGGCAAGGCTTTTTTCTAGGCTTGAAATCAATAACTGTCCCAGTCGTGTCTCATCCGTGTCCCAGCCGTGTCCGAAAATAAAAAAATAATAAAAAAATCGGACACTTAAATTGGTGTGCGGACACGCTCTCGTGTCCTGGCATGTCCGGGCGTATCCGTGTCCGACATGTGTTTTTCAAGGCTTCACAGTGGTGTGTTCGTTCTGATCTCTTCTCCTTCTATTCTCCTAGCATGCTTTGTATGAATTGGGAGGCATTTATAACTCCCCAGTAAAGTTGCTTTTATATTTTTCTTTGCTGCCTTTATTTATTTATTGCTTCTTTTAATTTTCCTCACTCCTTTTGGAGTTTGTATCTTTGAACAATTTTGTTCAATGAAATTGTTCAAGAAAAAAAAAGTGATTGTTGATATTCTTTGGCGTGCTGGTACCATTTTTTGGTGAAGTTTGGTTTACATTGGGTCTTTTCAAATCACTCAAAAGTGTAACCTTTTTCATATTTTAGTTGGTCCTAATCTATCTTCAAGACTTCACTTGCTATGGTTTATCAGAGTCAATGCCATTATTTCTGAGCTTTAGTTGGAATGTAATCAAGGATATCAAAAAACAAGCATCGCAGTTGGATTAATCGTTGAGTTAGCCTCTTTTTGAGCTTCACAGTGGTGTTCTTGAAAGTTATTTGTGGATTATCATCTTCAAGATATTTTTAAATTGGAATACTTTTATGTTTCATGTTTAATTTGTTTGGTTTCCTCCCTAATTTGTTTTACTTTTTGTTTGGTTTCCTCTTTTGGGAGTTGTATTTTGAACATTTGTTTCTTTTCATTAACTCTCAAGGAGAAAAGCTAAAATTGGGATTCTTTATTATAGAAAGGCAGTAACTATTTGTATCATGTTTTGCATTGGAATCTTCCATTATTGAAATAGTCATATCTCCTGACAGTGCTCAGAGGGCTTTATGCACACACGGATGCGACGTCGTGTGGAGTCTCTGATTCAGGTAGCATTCCTTATCTTTCATTTGGTGCATCCTGATGTTGGAGAAATTGTTTCTGGATCAAAATAATTTTAAATAGGATTTTGTAAATTGTAACTTTTCTTAGGATTGTTTTGGGTTGTGAAGTCCTACATATTATTTTTGGGTTGTTTGAGTTATTTTTCATATTCCTGAAAAGTTTATACTTCATTTTATCAATTAAAAATATCATTTCCGTGTCATCAATAATAATAATAATTCAAATAGTTTTCTACAAAGTAGATAGAAGTTACATAATTCTGCATTAATAACTATTATTGGGATTGGAACTTCAGAATTCCAATCATTTAATGGTGATTGATTACATGAATTGGCTGGAAAGCGGGAGGGTCATGCATCAATCATTCCGTTGTGTTAGAAACCTTGTACTGGGCAGCTGGGTGTTTTGTATGCCAAGAATTCGAGAATTCGTACCCGTGTAGACCAGCACCAGTTAAACGTAGCGCATGCTTAGCAATCCGTCGAATCTTGAGTTTTGAGGCTTTTTCTTATTTCTTTCTTTGGTCAAGCTACTTTAATATGATCAAGCTTTCTTTGTTTTTTGTTTTTTTTTTATCTTTTTTTGAAAAAAAAAATACCTTGTTTCATTCTGTAGGCACTTGATCGTGCCAAGCCAGAAGCAACTGATACTAGGAAAAAAACACACAGCAGATCCTTCAAACGGCTGGTTAGTGATGGGAGTGCTGGCTGATGATTGGGGGCATTTCGTTTTATGCTTTAATTTAATTCACTGCAGTATGCTCGCGAGGAAGCACAAAGAAATTGAATCCCATAAAAGCCTCTTATAATATTGTGGAAATTTTGCAATACCAATTTGCTGTGTGAGAGGTACTCTGTTTTCTCCATGATTGTTCCGAATTTTGTTTGGAAGGAAATGGGGTTGTATTTTGTTTTTTATTTATATCCACGCTGCTTTTTGGCATCCACTGAGCCATAATTTATACTTGTTAAATTTGAAGTCTCATCGTTTCATTTACCTCCTTGAGAAGTGAGTTGCACCTATCATATGTGATTATGCACAGTATTAGGCAACTTGAAACAAATTGTTGCTGGCGATGCCAACAATTCCTATTTCATATTTTATTATGATAATTTTTTTTAATAAAACGAAGTGTCTGCATGATACTGGTCTGCTTAAGTTTAGGAAATTAGGATTTTTAACTCCTTTTATAACTATTTGGATTTTTAACCCCTTCTCTAAAAACACTTATTTGTGACCCCTCATCACTTGTCATCCTTCTAAAATTACCAAAATACCCTCATTTCTCAAAAAAAACAAAATTCTTCATAATTCTAGTTCGTTCCACCAATCTCTCACTCTCTTTTTAATTTGAATCTAATATAGAAAAAATCTTTGCCTTTTAATTTGAATAATCAATTACGAATTAGGGAAAAAAATCAAATTTTTAATTTGAAAGATCAAATACAAATCTAATCTAGAAAAGAATTATAAAAAATTGGTTGAAATGACGAGTGAAAACTTGAGATAATTGATAAGAGATGTAAAGCTCTATTGAGCCATTGGATTGTATTGACTTAAGTAGAACATTTACATCAAAGGAAATAATGTAGATAAAGCAAAGTTTCTGTACAATAGGAAATTCCCCAATTCACTCAATCAACCTTGTTGTGCATTCCTTAAATCACTTACATAGCTGTCTTGATATTCCCTCTCAAACGAGTGGGGGAGGAAACCACACCGAGTTTGATTAGCTGCTAATTGATTACTTAAGGGTATGTATCGAACATCTAATTGTTTAGCAAGTACTTTTTCACGTATAAAGTGAATGTCGAGCTCAATATGCTTACTTCGAGAGTGGAAAACTGGATTGGCGGCCAAAGATAGAGCGAATCTAAATTTCTTTCAGAAGGGATTCAAGCCAACTGATTTCTAATGAAACAAGGGCAAGAGCTCTATATTCCGACTCCGTACTCGATCTTGCAACGAAATGTTGTTTTCTATCATCCGGACAACAAGTCTAATCTGCATTGCAATATCCTATCAAGCTTAAATTATTTGAAGGTTGAATAAGTAGAGCATGGTGAAGAGTACCTTTCAAGTATCTTAATACTCTTTTTGCTTCCTGCCAGTGTGTGGTTGTTGGGTTCTGCAAAAATTGACTCAACCATGAAAGAAATTTCAGGTCTTGTATTGGTGAGATATTGGAGAGCTCCAATCAGGCTTCTATATTCAGTTGGATTTTTGAGAGGATCACCATCATGAATTGAGAGAGCTTTACCAGAAACTGCAGGTGTTGGCAAGGCTTTAAATGTTGTAGCTGCAACTTAAGTAACAAATCAGTAATGTACTTCCTTGGTTAAGATAGATGCCACTCTTGTCTCGATAAACCTCAATCACCAATACCTTTCAATGCAAACTGCTTATTCAACTCACTAATGAAGCGTTTAATCACTTGCATATCATTACCTGTCATCATTATATCATCAACATAGATTAGAAGGAATAAAAGTGTGGTACCGGATCTAAAATACAACATAGATGTGTCGGCTTTTGAGTTCATGAATCCTCAATCAATGAGAGAACCTTTAAGTTTATCGTACCATGCCCTTGGTGCTTGTTTGAGTCTATTATAATGTCTTGGTCAACTTACACACATGATCAGGATGTTTTTTTATCAATGAACCCTTCCGGTTGTGACATGTAAACCACTTCTTCCAATTGACCATTGAGAAAAGCATTATTTATATCTAATTGGCGTATACACCAATCATTTGTCACTGTCACTGTGAGTATAATACGTATAGTCGAAGCTTTAACTACAGGACTAAACGTTTCAGTGAAGTCTATACCTGGTGTTTGGTGGTGGAAGCCCTTGGCAACCAATCTTGCTTTATATCTCTGAATGCTGCCATCTGGGTTATATTTCAAGCGAAATATCCACTTATTTTCAACTAGATTGTCCGATTCTTTGTATGGAACGAGTGTCCAAGTGGAGTTTTTGTGTAGAGCCTCCATCTCCTCACTCATCGTTTGTTTCCATTAAGCTACTGTCAGTACCTTGTTAACATTATTTGGTTCTGAAAACTAATGCAGCTACTGTGAGGCAAATTGGAAACTTGTGACATGAAGTTCCAAATCTTTGGTTTAACTATGCCACTCTTAGCACGTGTCTGCATTGGATGTGAAGAAACCAAAGTTTGAGTTGCTTCTTGTACTGTGGAAGAGGTTTCATTTGCATTAGTAGAATGAGTTTCTTGTTCAATAGTTATTGCAACTTGCTCATTTGTGAGCTGATCATGGTCTGCTTGTTGCTCAACATAATTATCACTAATAGCTTGTTGTGAGAACAATTGTGGTTGATTTTCAAAACCTTAGTTTGTCCCAGTTGGACTTTGCAAGGGATTTAAACTAGAATTATTGGTTGAAGGACTAGGACTTGGACTATTTGAAGATTTATCAATGGAAGGATTGATCCAAGTTATTATAGTTTCATAAGAAGCTTGGTCCGTAGGACTTGCTTTTGGGAAACCATCTTTGAAGGGGAACTCATTTTCATTGAACACCACACTTCTAGAGATATACTCTTCAACTTGAATGCAAACATTTGTAGCCTTTGTGTGATTCACTATAACCTAAGAAGACACACTTGATTGAGTGATATTGGAACTTGTGAGATTGATAAGGGTGAAGACATGGAAAACAAGCACTACCAAATACTTTAAGGAAATTATAGTCAGGTGTTTGATGGTAGGCCATTTCCCAGGGAAAGAGATTATTCAACACTGATGTAGGCAATCGATTTATAAGATAAACAGTCGAATAAAAGGCATCCCACCAATATTGAAGAGGCATTGAGGCTTGAGCCAACAAAGTTAATTCCATTTCTACTCAGGGGTGAGCATATCAACCCGAAAAATCGAGGCGACCGACCAAAATCGACCGAAAACAGGTCGGTTGGTCGGTTTTAGCAGCAATAGGTTCGATGTCGGTTCTGAAAAAATCAGAACCGACAAGTCGGTCGGTCGGTGGCAGTGAACTAGGCGATGCCGATCGACCGACCGAATATGTATTAATTAAAAAAAATTTACATTTTTCCAGTTTTATAATTTAGTTAATAAAGTAGTTAGGGTTTCTTTTTGGTTAAATTTCACCCTTATGTCTCTCTCTCACCCGCACGCCCCACGTTGCCGCTCGCCCTCACTCAGCAACCCACCTGTCGCCTGCATACCGTTTCGACGGTTGCCCCCTCACTCAGCAACTCAGCCCGCATACGACCGTCGCCCACCCTTCACGCCGTCGCCCCTGATACATCGTCAACTGCCGCAGCCCACACCCACCGAATCTTAACTTTAAAAATTGCGATTCAAAATCGTGGTAAGTATGTATATATTGTTTTTTAATTAACACTATTTCTTTTGGTTTGATTTGTGAATTTTTTTTTTAAATTATCGGTTTAACCGACAAAGTTCGGTCGATCAGTTGGTGCATATTGGCAGAGGAAAACCGTCGGTTTCCAAATTTGGAAAACGACGGTGTCGGTTTTGGCATCGGGGTCAGTCAGAAACCGACCGATGATCAGTCCTATTTCTATTATATGTCTATGCTTTCTCTCAAGTATGTCATTTTGTTCACTAGTGTGGGGACATGGATGCCTAAACTTTATTTAAACTTCAAAAGTGTTCATTTTTGAAACCTCAGGAATCAAGTAAATATCTATCTCGATCCCGAGGGACAAAAAATGTATTATGCCTTTTTTTCCTTTTTTTTCCATTTGTTTTCTTTGCTATCTTTGTTTTGTTAGACTATTTTTTATTTTTTTTCGTGGTTTCTTTTGGGATTGGCCATCGATGGATGTTTTATGAATTTTTTTTTGTTAAAATACTAATTTGATCCCTGTAATTTCAGTCTTAGTTCACTTTGATCCTTGTACTTTGAAAATTACTTTGAAAATGTTCGTTTTGGTCCCTGTACTTTTAAACTTTTGTTCATTTTAGTCCTCGTACTTTTAAAATATACATTTTGGCCCCTCTACTTTTAAAAAGCGACCATTTTAGTTCCTTAATTTTATTCTTAGATTGAAATTCCAATCAAGTCAAGCAGGAACTTTGAGGATAATTCGGAATTTTATGTATCGTATCTTTAATTTAATTTTTTTATGGGAAAGCCGTTTCCTATATATTTTTTTAGATAAATATCGGTGGGTAAAAATTTTCTTTTTTCAAATTGATTCTTCAAATGAAAAGGTTGGGATTTTTTCCATAGATTCAAATTAAAAAGAAATGGTGAGTTTATGAGAGATTGGTGGAGAATTTTATTTTGTTTTTTTTTTCAAACATAGATATTTTGGTAATCCCAAAATAAAATAGTGTTTTTCGTGTAATTATTCCTTCTTGCTGTATAGCGGGAAATTTTTGTAATGCATACTAAATGATAATAATAAAGAAAATTTTCCGTTTCATAAAATTTTCCTTAAAATAGATAGTTGTGTTCATTAATAGTTTGAGTGGGTCAAATAAGTAAAAGATAAGTTATATAAGGGTCACAAATAAGTGTTTTTAGAAAATGGGTAAAAAATACAAATAGAATTAAGAAATTGGTCACAAATCCCAATTTCCCAAGTTTATAAATTCAAAAATAAAAAACAAAGATGTATACAACTTAGTTTTCTATAAAATAACTATAAAAATTAAGTTTAAATTTTTAATTGTGATCAGTAGTAAGAATTAAAAAAACTGTGGTCTGGTATATTAGTGCTTTAAATAACGACATCTAATAGTAGTCTAATAGTTTAACTATACCCTTCTGTGGCCAGTTTACAATTGAAGCCTAATGGTAATTTACAGCAATACTTATTTAAAGATATTTTGCATTAGAAAAGACAAAATAGGCAATAGGATTCATTTGAGCGTGATTCAGACCATTCATTATACCACAGTATGATTCTTCCCCAAGATTCAAATTCCTTGCTCAAGACTCTCTAAAAACTCCACTCATCAACAATCATCTCCTGTTACATTTAGTTGCCAACCAAAAACACAAGAAATTAATTCCTAAATAAGTGAAGTTTTAAATATTTTTAATTTACTCGAGTCTATTTCGATCAATGAGCTAATCTATGAAGTTAATAATTGATGGTGCAATCTTGTCGAGTAAATTGACATTCATTTCTTAGTCACTCATAAAGTCATTGGATATGCTGATATGTTGCAGAAATATGAGGAAGGTACAAATTTCCTTATTATTAGTTCAAGATAAAACTATTATTTGTTGCATTTTCAAACTCCAGATCCCAAGCAGAAACATATCTGAAGTGCTCTTTTGATGGGAACATGCCCAATCATTATCAATGTAGCTGACCAACTTACAATTTTCCTTACATACTTTTATACCTTGTAAATATCTCAACAGTCTCAAAATTACTTGAAACGATACTAACAAAATGCATAATATTTGACTTAGTATAAGGTAGATCAACAAACCAATCAGACTTAATTGGAAAGTCTTTAAATCTGCTTTATAGCTTAATTGGAAAGTCTTTAAATCTGCTTTATAGCTTTATCTTGATGCCATAGAGATAGGAGCCATAACTCTACCATCACTAAACATTTGACGGGTAGGGGGTAGGAGAGAAAAATGCAGAACGAGAAAAAGGTTTTCTGTTTTTCAGTAAGATAAATAGTTAGTTGTACGCGTACATGCCCTGCGTGGGGAGGATATATGGCTACAGCAACATATCTATATATATATATATAATATATATACACTTTTTCTTTTCTTTGAAAGAAGAAAAGATGATAATATAGTAGCCTCTCATAAAAGCAGGAATATACACGCTGTTTCAGCATTCCTCAAATGGTGTACATGAATCCTCGTTATCTGCAGACTAGCGAAATTTAGTTATCTAGTTTCAGGAGGGACAGACACTACCTTGGCTCTGGTGGGGCCAACGCCAACTCATGTGAGATTGGCGATGGCTCTGTGGGAGTTGGAGTGGGTGGTTGAACTTGAACTACTGCCTTTCTGTCCATGACCATTGAAAAACGATTCGATCCTCCCAAGCTATACCCTCCCAAACTATCTATGGACCTCATATATTCTGAAGCATTGTTCTCTATGATTAAAGAATCTTCTAGCTCACGCACAATGTCACCCATGCACGGTCGATACGCCGAGGAGGGCTCAGTACATGCCAATGCCACCTCCACCACTCTCCACATTGCCTCTGCATGGTAGCCTCCTTTGATGGAAGGATCCACAATGTCCTCCATCTTCGACTCCCTTATATTACTTTTGGCCTGCACTTCCAAACCCAAAATTTCAGAACAGAAATGAAGTAAATCGTCATCTTTTTCAAGTTAAAATATCAAGGAATTGGATCATACCCACTCAACCAAGCTCCACTCATTGCGTGGCTTATGAATGTTCAGTGGCTCCCGACCACTTATTATTTCAAGGAGAACCACGCCAAAGCTAAACACATCACTTTTAGCAGACAAATGATGGGTCGTATAGTACCTGAAGTGAACAACAATTATGAATCAGAAATTTACATGAAACTATATATCATCTCTTACTAGAGTGATTAAGATGTGAACAAAAGGCAGAGTGGAACAAAAATCTTACTCGGGATCTAAATATCCAGCAGTTCCTCTGACCTCCAGGGAAGCACCACTTTCACCCTCTTGAGGTGCATATTTGGAAAACCCAAAATCTGCAACCTTGGCACACATACTATGATCCAAAAGTATGTTACTTGATTTTACATCTCTATGTATAACACATCGCCCAGCGAATGTGTGAAGATACGTCAAACCTGAAAAAGTAAAAAGATAGGATTCTTTGAAACGCCCTCACATCCACAGTGTTAATTCCTAAATATAAGGTCTCAATATGACTTTTTTTCTTTTTTTTTTCCTCTTTATTAAACAAGATACTAACTTTTCATTGATCGATGAAAAGGAACAAAAGTTGTTCAAGGAGATATAAAAGTCTCCCAATTCAAACAAATCATGCTAGAAAATCAAAAAAGCAAACCATTGAGAGGCCTTAAACTTAGTGATGTTGAAACAGTCTAGGTAAGACCTCCATTTTCCTTCGAACAACCTTTGGTTCCTTTCGAACCAAACTTAAAAAAGTTAACGCCTTGAGACCATTAATCCAAGGAGGTTAGCTTTAGGAAGAAACTTTGTGTCAAACAGTGGCTGGAAAAGACTTCTAGAAACATTCATAGGTTGAAAAGCTGAAAGAAAAACTCCAACACACCGACACAGAAGGTCAAAAAATCAAGTGGTTCTGAACTTCCCCATCCGCAGCACACAACACACAAAACGAAGGCTGCAAAGCCATATTAGGCAATTTCTTCTGAAGTACCTCTTCAGTATTTACCTTCCCATCGAGAAGAATAGGACAATAAATTCACCTTCTTAGGGCAGCCTTGATTCCACAGCAGAGGACAGTAGTCTTTAGGTAGAGTTGAAGACTCTCCATACTGACTGAGTAAGAACCCGCTGGTTCAAAAATCCAACTTCTAGCATCCTCCTCCAAACTAGGATTAAAAGAGGACAAACTAGATAATAGGCCCACAAAGTCATCAATCTCTGAATCCTTCAGCGACTTTCTAGTTCCGACCTCCAAGAAAGCGAACAGTTATCCAAGCATTACACAAACATTAAAGGTGAAGAAGAAATACTGAATATAGCATGAAATATGTCCTAAAACGAGGAAGACCCAATCCATATATGGTACCAGAAACGAGTTCTTCTACCATTACCAGCTTTAAACTGAGATAACTTTTCCACCTGCTGCCACTGTTTATTACTATTGTTCCAAGGACTTCGGCCAGAACCATTCTTCTTAATTATCACATTCCATGGTGTGCTCTCAATGGTGTGCTCTTTCCAATCTTTTTGTCAATTACTCACCTAGCATGATTGATTCTAATTGGGATGCTTTTAGCTCTCCTTTGTAATTTTATTTATTTTCTTTCAACTTTATGTTTTATCTTTCTCACTCCTTTGGAGTTTGTATCCTTGAACATTTTAGGTTCCTTTTCATTTATCAATGAAAAGTTCGTTTCCTGTTCAAAAAAAAAAAAATTCAACAAACTAGAATCACCGTGCCGACCCCCGACCCTTTGTACCCGGAGCCTCGACACTCATCTCTACCAAGTTGGGGTATCGATCCCTGACCTTTGCACCTGGAGCCTCGATACCCAACTAGTGACGTGCCAGCCTTTTTGGCCCTGTTAGTTCTCCATTTACTTTATTAAATCCCGGAACTCTCACCAGAGACCTACATGCTTTTCAACCATGACCCATATATCCATATACGCACCCAACACTCTAAGAATTTCATAGTAATCAGAACACAATATAACCCATTCACTTCATTAAGGACCAAACTCTCTCCAGAGTCCTACTACATACTTTCTAGGCCATGACCCATGCAGCACTCAACTCACAATAAAACCAGCATGCTTGCAGAACCAAAAACCAGCAGGCTAAAAATGAAATGACATGTCCAACATGCATGCGCAACACAACAGATTTCTCCCATATTATTTCAGTATGCTNAACCCTACCGACCTGTGCCATAAATACTGGCCACAACCAATCGCCATAAAGCCGAAGATTCAGTGCTAAATCACCACCCCCACTTGGATAGGAGAGCCCCATTTCTCTTAAGAAGACAGCCAATATCCAAACCACCTGATTCACGAGATTGGAAAACAATACCCAGCGGACAAGTGCTTTAATGATCCTTTCGGAGTATCTCCCCAAAATATATTTTTTATCTGCTTACATATCCTTCCAGGCAGCTTGAAAATGGATATAGAAAGGAATGCTTCCAAGAACTGACTGACATAAAGTCAATCTTCCTCCCCTCGAAAGTTGACATCTCTTCCATCTGTCCAGCTTCTTAGAAATTCTCTTGGATAGGAGACCAGAATTCATCTGACTTAGGATTCCCTCCTAAAGGCGAGCCTAAGTAAAGTACCGATAAATGAACCGCTTTGCAGTTAAACTTTCCAGCAACCTGCCTTGCCCTTGGAACTTCCATGTTAACACCACTCAAAGAAGATTTTTTCCAATTAACCTTCATCCCCGAAAGCCATTCAAAAGCCTTGATAGAATCAAATAGTAATTCCAACATAACTTCTTCATCTTTACAAAAATGTAAAGTATCATCCGCAAATTGCAAATGAGAAATGTGGACCAGGCCTCTCCCTACTATGAAGCCCCCAAAAGCTCATTTCAAATGAACATTTTCCATCAAACTACTTAGCATATCACCTACTAGAAGATAAAAGGTGAACGGGGATCACCTTGTCTCAACCTTGTTGAAGCTTTGATTCTAGCTCTAGGTCTTCCATTAACAAAGACAGAAAATTTAGGGTCTCTGATACAACCATTGATCCAACCGATCCATTTTTTACCAAAAGCTTTCTGAAGAATTTTTGAGAGACAACTCCAGTCCACTCTATCAAAAGCTTTTTCTACATCCAGTTTGAGAATCCAACCACCCTTCCTTCTGACTAATCTTTTACAATTTCGTTTGCAATAAGAATAGGATCAAGAATCTGCCTTCCGGTCAAAAAAGCGCTTTGATTCCTTGAGATGGTGGAAGCTATGACTTTATCGAGCTTTTCTGCTAGTGGCTCTGCTAGTACTTTAGCTAAAATCTTGTAGGTGATTGTTGTAAGACTTATAGGCTGAAAGTCTTAGAACCACTTAATCTCTTTCAGGCACAACACAAATAAAATTTTCTTTATGCACGCATTCACTTGTCCGTTCCTGCAAAAAATCTCATGAAATCACTCTTCCAATATTTCCAGAATTTTATAAAAAATTCAGAGGTGAGAACCCATCCGGCCCTTATTTTTACCAAGACCTTTTAAAGCCTCCCAAATTTCTGCCTCAAAGCTTCTCTCAGGCCATCTCCTATTCTGACAAGAAATCAGCCATCCTCTATTTGGAGGTCTCAATATGACTACTGATTCAAAAGCTCCCCCTCGTTCGAGGAAGGGTGGCAAAATCCTACACCCAAATCCTCAATTGAAGGTGAACACAAAATTAGAGTCAATAGTTTTGTGTTCAAACTCAGATTGCCTTAGAGATTCATACAACAATTTTGTCTCGCAATTTATTCAGGAGGATTCTTTTAAGTTACTTCTCGCCATCTTCCTTTTTTGCCATAAGCAAGATCATCTCATGTGTAACAATTTCACCATATAGGTATCCATACCTACCTGCTGCACAACTCATTATCGCTGCTTGGTGCAAAAAATACATCACCCATCCAATCATCAGGGATTTAAATATTAATAAAGAATTCCTAGTCCTGATTGCCAATGAAGCAGTAGAGGATTATAAATCCCGAAAGAAAAGTGGCTGGATCTTAAACTTGACCTTGAAAAGGCATTCGACAAGGTTGATTGGGCCTTTCTTGAAGACGTTCTCTCACAAAAACAGTTTGGGAAGAAATGGTGTAAATGGATCAATGGGTGCGTTACAGGCACCAAGTTCTCCATCTTTATTAATGGGGAAGACCTAAGGGTCATATTTTGGCTTCAAGAGGTTTAAGACAAGGGGACCCTTTATCGCCTTTTCTCTTCCTTCTTGTTGGGGATGTCTTTAGCAGTATCTTGGACAGCACCAATGTGGGAGACTTTTATGAAGGTTTCTTGATCGGAAGAGATAAGGTCCACATATCTCACTTACAACTTGCTAACGATATTCTTCTTTTTTGTAAGGACAATGATGGTATGTTGGATAACCTTATCAAGGCTATTAAAACTTACGAGCAAATGTCGGGATTTTCGGTTAATTGGGAGAAATCTGTTATTTTGGTATTAATATAAAATCTGGAAAAGTTCTTCAAGTAGCTGAATCCTTGAATTGCCAGGTTGCTTCCCTCCCTTTTCAGTATTTAGGACTACCTCCTGGGGGTAATCCAAATTCAGCAGTATTTTTTGGAGTCCCATCTTAGAAAAAATTGAGAAGAAGTTGGATAGATGGAGGCGGTTTTAATTATCTAGAGGAGGGCGACTAACACTTTGTAAGTCGGTCTTAACTAATCTCCCTCTTTATTACTTTTCTTTGTTTCAAATTGCTTCAGGAGTTTGCAAACAAGTTGAAAGGAAGATAAGATCCTTTCTCTGGAATAGTGGTTCTTCTAGCTCTTTAAATCATTTGGTTGTAAAAACTAAGGATAGAGACACCAGAGAGACATACACGAGAAAAGAGAGAAGAAATAAATTCTCAAATTGATTGATCAAAGATGAGGAATAGAGGCACTATTTATAGGTTACAAGAGGAAACAAAATCTAGGAATAACCTCCTAACTTCCCTAACAAAAAAGGAGATTTATTTGCTAAATTTAAACACAAAATCTAAACAACTTTAAAACAACTTCTAACTAAGTCCACATAATCTTAACTTCTAACTAATTCAACACTCCCCCTCAAGCTGGACTATACAGATTGAACAGTTTCAGCTTGATCAACAACCTTTCAAATACGGGTCTCAAGAGTCCTTTTGTTAGGATATCTGCAACTTGATCTGATGATGGAACATACATCAGATTTATAATTTCTCTTCAATCTTCTCCTTGATAAAATGCCTGTCAACCTCAACATGTTTAGTACGATCATGATGCACTGGATTGTGTGCAATAGCAATTGCAGCCTTGTTGTCACAATAGACTTCCATTGAACTATCAAACCTGATCTTGAGTTCTTGGAGGAGGAGTTTCAGCCACATTATCTCACAAATACCATGAGATAATGCCCTGAATTCAGCCTCAGCACTACTT